GACATGAGGTTCCAGTGCAGCATCTCATTTTGATGAGAGGTTCCTTCTTCAAGTTCTGCTTCTGGCTTCCTTTTTCATTTCGAAGAGGAATAGAGGAGAGAACATTTGAGTTCAGAAAAGGCCTGAGTTGGACTCTTACTTTGACTGTGATCAGCAAATAAATGATTTACTCAATCTCTAGACCTCAATTTTCTTATCTATGAAATGAAGATAAAAAATACTTCCTCGGGGTTAATAGGACTAAAATTAAACATCCTATTGTAAAGAACCTAGAACCATGTGTTTATTTAGCACATTATAGTTGCTTAATAAATACTAGTTATGAGGATTCTTGTTATTAGAGCAAGTAAACATTTAAAATGTTTCTCAGCTCCTTACTCCAAAGTACTAGGTATTTATGTTTTGTGTTTATTGTCTTAAGGTATTAAACGTTGGCACAGCTCATAACAGTTTTAGGTACCACCTTGCTGGTTGAAGAGAACTATTGTTTAGCTGTGTTCTTTCAGTGGGAGCCCTAGCAGCTGTTGGTTATGGGAGAAAATTAAAGTTTTTTTAGATAGAAGGTGCTTTGGATTTAAGGAAAGACCAGGGCGTTTTCCCGAGAATAGAAGTTTTGTGTTTGCATTTACTCTTTCAGTGTTTGTGAAGAACTTTCTCCCTGGGTGGGGAAATGACATCAGTAACTTTCAGGTCCATGGCCTAGAAGTGAAACTAGTTTTCTGCAAATTAAAAAAGGCAAAATTCAAAGTGATGTGAAGTTACTTTCAGTTTCTTTTGATCATGGTCTAGCAACCTTAATGACACCAAATAGGAATTGAATTTATTTATTAGCCTAAGTTCAAAATGAATGAACATCCTTTTAAAAATAACATCCTTTGTTAACAATAGCTTTATTTGAGGATGTAATTCATATTATGGGAACACATCCTTTTAAAGTGTACAGTTCAGTGGTATTTGGTATTCGTCCAAAGTATAGATGGTTTGTGCAACCAGCACCACCAATTTCAGTACATTTCATCACCCACAAAGAAGCCTTGTATTCGTCTCCCCTCTCACTGCCCCTTGGCAACCACTAATCCTTCTATTTGAATGGATTTGCATCTTTTCTGGACATTCCATGTAAATGGATAAATGTGATGAGGGGAGCTGGTGTTAGTTGGCTTAAGCTCCAGTTGGTGATTTCAGCGTCAGGTCCCATCCACAGCTCTGAGTTCGTTCGCTCAGGTGTCTCGGTTTATAACCTTGTGCTGGCTCTGTTTTTTTGAAGGCTAAGCCCATGTTGTAGCATGTATCAGTATGTTGTTCCTTTTTTATGGCTAGATAACATTCCACCGAATTATACTTAGCATTTTGTAAAATCCATTCATCAGTTGATGACGCTTGGTTGTTTCCACTTAGGCTATTGTAAACAATGTTATGAAATTCACGTGCAGGTTTTTGTGGATGTGTAACCATTTTTTTGAGTTTATGTAGAAGTGCTGAGTTATATGGTAACTGGATAGAATTAAACATCTTTTAAAATTTTATTTATTTTAAGTTTATTTTATTTAGAGAGAGAGGCTGAAAGGGCCTGGGTGCATGATCCCGCGTCCGACTTCAGCCAGGTCATGATCTCAGCGGTCCGTGGAGGCCCAAGGCTGGGCTCTCCTGGGCTGATGGCTCAGAGCCTGGAGCCTGTTTCCGATTCTGTGTCTCCTCTCTCTGCCCCTCCCCTGTTCATGCTCTGTCTCTCTGTCCCAAAAATAAATAAACGTTGAAAAAAAAAATTTAGAGAGAGAGAGAGATTACAAGTGGGGGGGGGGGAGAGAGAGAGAATCCTAAGCAGGCTCCCCACTGTCAGCACAGAGCCCGATGCAGGGCTTGAAGTCACAAACCATGAGATCATGACCTGAGCCAAAATCAAGAGTCAGACA